GCCCAAGAAAATGAGCTTGGTGGAGGGACCGAGTGTTTTGCTTCGTGACAAGGGGACCCCGAGTGTCGAGAAAAAAGCTGTGGTGGAGGGTATGCAGTGAGGTGATTGTGAACCTGGTTCTATTAATAGAAAATCATCTAGGTAGTGGATGAAAGAGGGGCACCTGAGTATATTTAGGAGCAGCCAGCAGACGGTTTCTGCGAAGATATCAAATAACTTGGGGCTGCTCCTAGAGCCAAAGGTGAGCCGGGTGGTGAAAAAATACCTGTCTCTCTATTTAACACCGTGTAAGTGCCTTAGTGAGGGGTGAATAGGTAGTAGTTTGAAAGTGTTGGTTATATCTGTTTTGCTCAACCAAGCCCCACTACCTGCTAAGATGGCTTCCATGGCATCATCAATTTTTGCGTATTGTAGTGAGAATGGGAATGAGGGAGTTGATACTGGGAGTGGAGGAAGAATGAGGTGCAGAGAGATCGATAATTAAACGTTTTTTGTTGGAGTATTTGTGAATGGCTATACCGATGGGATTGGTACGCCAAAATGAGAAAGGTGAAGACAGAAAAGGGCCGATCATAAAGCCAGCTGTGATTTCAGTAGACAGAAGGTGGTCCACCGTGAGTCGGTCAGTGGAAGCAGATAAAAGGTTAGGGCATTCAAGAGTACCTGTGAGGATGGCGATAAGGCCCGTGTGAAACCCCTGAGAAAAACCTGTCACTAGATAATCTACCAGGTGCCTAGCTGAATGTGACTGGAGATAGTATTCCAGGATGTCAATGTTAACCTCAGTCAGGTGTTTCTTAAGTGACAGAAGGGCTGGGCAAGTGGACTTGGTGTGGACTCTGAAGCATATGGAGCAGATGTGCAGTGCCCTGCGTGTCGTGAGATTACATACCACCGCATTAAAGTAACTACATACCTGAGCCTTGCCCAGAAATGAAATGGGACTGTCCGGCGTGCCTCTCTGCCCGCCACCATCACTAGCGTGTGGGGTGAGGGGTTGGTGAGACATGGAAGTGTCTGCCGTGTAAGTGAGCGTAGTTTGGGAGGTCAGCAGTAGGGTCATGGTGTTAACGTCTTTTCCCCTGGGAATGCCCATTCTGATGGACCTTGGGACAGGGTGGACAGGGGAAACATAAGAAGTGGGTATGGCTGAGACTGTCAGGGGAAGGTTTCCGAGCCCAACGAGGCACCTGGAGATGCTATAGCGGATTAAAGTTTCGCTAGTCTGTGATTGATCATTTGGAGGTTGGTGAGTATAGCTACCAGAGTGTCTCATGTGGAATCCGAAGTGTGAGCTGGCAAGATTTGTGAACTACAGCCTGGCCTAGAAACGTTGGCCTAAGAGGTCATTTGCCTGTACAGTTCAGCCATTCTGGCGGTGGCAGGAAAGGGGATACCCCTGCTTCTGAGTTCTGCTGAGATTTTTGGAATGGTCCAGTAACTCAGGGACCTGTGGGTAAAAGGGGTGAGGGGTTTCTCTGGAGACCCAGTCCTGAGTGGCGCGCTTGGTATGTTATCCGATGGTAGATCGATGATCGGTTCTTGTGACATCTGAAAAAAGGAACATGCTTTGAATAAGTAGGGTGAAGAGGAGGTGAAGGTGAGACTTCCGGAGAACTGGCCTGCTAGCTAGTGCCGAGGCAAACAATTTACCTAGACCAAGTGACAGGTGAGGCCCTGCTAGTGCCAAGTGGCGGAGAGAGGCTCTACCTATGATTTGGCCCGAGGGGGTTTTGTGGCCACATGCACGTGGTGGCGGGGTGTAGGCCTCTCGGTGACCATAAAGACAGTCAAAACGTGTGGCTGTGACTTGGGAAGCCCTAGCTATAGCCCACAAGAAGGGCAAGCGAGGTGGCTAACTATGATTTGGTCGTGGGCCGAACCTCCGTGTATGAGGTGGGGGTGTAGACCTCGTGGCACCGGGTATTAATTTGATAGCTAAGTTCAGAACCTAACCCTAGGAGCCAGTTCTCTAATTTACTGGGGCTTGTCTCTTGCAAAGTTGTATATGTACGTATGTAAATACTAACCTTGAGTATGAGTCCTGTTTGTTTGGACAAAGCCCTTAGAGACTTCAATAAGGCTTTAAATTAGCTTCTGCAGGAAACTGGCTTGGTCCGGAACCTAATGGAAAAGAAGAGGCTAGTGGGCCTGAGGGTTGCCACCGGCGAGCCAAGTGTGAAAATATAGACCGTATGGATAAGTGTGCAGCAGAGATACTGTATCGTAAGCATGAGTAAGCTACAATTGTTTGTAGAAACGATAAACAGTAAACAATACGTTAATATAATAGCAGCATGGTCGTGCAGGTTTATGAGAATAGTTGGTGACTAGGTGAGGCGTCTTAAAGCCTGGGGGGGTTTACGTAAGGCCGTGGAGGCAGAAAGAGGCGTAAAATTGGGACAACTTTTTTACCTGAACAGTGAAACTGGATATCACTTCCTGAAGATTTATCTTGCAGCAAAGTAGATGAACTTAAAACACATGCATACTAAGTATGAGGACTCAGGAAAAATGTTTAATTAAGGAACAGAGAGTTGCTGTATGAATTACCGGTCTGAAATGAGCCTGGGAAACGTGGTTGGCGGTGGGTTAGCCCCATGATATAAAAGCCGAACGCCATTTCCCACGTTTGTGCTTACGTGTAGGTGCCGGTCTCGTGACCGGAAGCCGGAACGCCGGAAAAACGAGTAACAAAGGCGGATTAGAAGCCAGTGAAGGAGCCCAGAGGCCGGTGACAGGAGCTAGACTGGATACTCGAGGCAGGATTTTGGCGGCAACCTTGACCGGAAGTGCAGGTAACTAAGGAGACAAAAGGCTTGCAAGACAAAGGTAAGTAGGGGGGTAGGGTTTATATAGGATCATAACTCCTCCCACAAATTTAGGCCAAATGGCCTTCCAACATATATATACACCGGTATGGGCAGACAATCACACATACACATCTACAGTCAGCAACCCACATAGTTTAAGGTAGTCAGACATACACACAAACACACACACATACACAGGTACAGGCAAACCGTCTCAAATATACAGCCACCCACACACTTACAGGCAAACAGTCACAAACACAGTCACAGACACACACAGAGTTACAGACAGACAGTTACACACACACACACACACACACACACACACTTACAAGCAGACAGCAAACACACACAGTTACAGGCAACACAGACAGACACAGTTACAAGCCGACAGTCACCCACACACACACACACACACACACACACACACACAAACGCACACAAACACAGTTACAGATAGTCACACACACAGAGAGTTACAAGCAGACACACATAGATACAGTCAGACGGTTACCTCTTTCCATTATGGGCTGGAGGGGGATAGCAGAGGCACTGCAGTTCCTGAATTCTAACAGTTGGGGAAGCAGGGACTCCTTACTACTTCCCTCTCAGTGTGCAGAAGTTACCAGGCAGA